CCACACCCACACCCACACACACACACACATACACGCGCGCGCGCGCGCGCGCGCCCACGTGCGCCTCAGTAGTCAGCTGAAGTCTGGCTGTGAAGGATAGCGATACTGTTAACAAGGAAGGGAGATGCCAGTGGCATTCTGCCTGCCAGGATTTCATTACTAGAGGTACAAATATTGTCATAGCTATAGGGACACAGTACATGATTGAGGAGAAGTTAGGAAAGAGAAAAAAAAAGCTACCGCATAAAAATGCTATTAAATGGCACGATAATGTCAAATGTGCTTGCAAACACGGGCACCTCTTGTTTTACTGTGCTTCACTTTCACATGCCTCGCTATGTCCCAGATTGTTTTTTTTTCCTTTTTAAATGAATTATAGGTCTGCACACAGAATGGAGTAACTGTATCAGCACCACTGTCTTCAGTTCCAATGACCCTTAGCCTCTTTAGCAACAAGGGAGCTTTAAATTGGGGTTTGCAGTCTATATGTAGTAATAGTGCAAGCATAATAGCCTACTGTACACATACCGTGTCAAATACAACTGTGTACTGGGGAAGCAAGGAAACGGTGTCACTTGCAGATCTGAGGGGTGCATGCAGTGGGAGCCTGAATGCTCGTAGACCTTTCTGTTTCATTTTGCTTTGGATCCCCTATACTAAAAGTGTTCAGAAATAATGCGTTCCCTATGGCCCAGATTCTCAGCCCTGGCAGGTGGGGCTAAGTGACAGGAAGGTACACGGGACAGTGGCAGACCTGGCTGGGGGCTCGGGGCTACAGGACAATGATGGCAAGCTGATTTCTCTCCCTGTGTGGTTCCCTTCTTGTGGTATTTGGGGGCCCTTTAAGGCTCAGTCAGGAAGAACAAGCGAGTTAAAATGTTTAAGCTGGCCTTTAACAAGGCTGGTTCCCAGAGCCTACCATCTTATCTTTATAATAAAGCAAGAAACAGCAAACTAGGGCTACTGCCAATACTGAACTGGCTGCCTCATAAAGATATTTAAGAACTGAGGACTTCATTATACAGAGGAGTTCACTGCTTCTGGAGAATTCAATAATTGAGTATTATTGCAGAAGCCTGAATATCCAGCTTACTGCCACCCAAAGCTCCTTTTTATCCTGACCTTGATTTGGCTGAAAACCGAGCAGACAGCCAGGATGGAGCAAATATGGGCAGCTGAGGTCAGATAAACCCGGTGGTTTTAGATAAGGAAAATTCTCTGTATGATAGGAATCTACCGGAGGATTTCTACAGCACCCTTTTAACACCTTAAGTCACTGATCAGTATTCTGCGGTCACTGGGCTCTGCTGTCCCTCTGGTGTGTCCTCAGGTAGTGGAGGGAGGTTTGGCCCAGCACACTGCCTGCAGTGGCCCCTTGCTGTCAGTACCTGGTGAATTCAAAGAGAAGGTATGTATATGTGTGTGAGAGAGACAGGGGAGGGAGGGAGGGAGGGAGGGAGGGAATGGTTAGGAAAACTGGGGATTCCCAGTGCCATACTCCACATATTCCTTTTAGATTTCCTTCAAAATGACGTCATCTGGCTGTTATGGCTTTGAGGATTTGTCAGGTGTTTATTGAGAACTGTGTTTGGTGCTACAAAAGACTGGGGAAAAGAGCAACAACAACAAAAACCAAATAAAACCCTATCTGTGACCTCTAAGAACTTTACTGTCATACCTCCCTTCCCTCTGATGCCATCAAGAGAGACAAGAGACTCCTGGAGGGAAGCTAACGGCCGGGATCCAGCTGCAGGCTGGCAGAGCACAAACTCCATCTTTATTTTTGCAGCTGGAGACATCCCTGCTCAGAGTTAGTTAAAAATACTTCCAAATGAAATTACTTAAAAGTGCATATTAACTACAAGCATCCAGAGAAATAGTGGTGTCGTGTCTGTGAGGGTCTGTGCCCCCACCTCCTTTTGCTAATCAAGAGAGGACAGGAGGAGTGATATACACATGGTAAAAACAGGCTCTGAAGCTTGTCCTGTAAATGCAAGTGACTGGTCAATGTCACTTCCACCCAAAATGGCCAGGAAGGACCATGCTGGGCGAATTCTTATCATCTTACTGTGGCTCCCATTGCTGATCACATGAGTACCAAGAGGTCAACCACTGAGCCTACTGTTCCCTGAGTCTGTCTGTTGTGCAAAACAGAGATCACCTTCCATAGGTGAGCAACCACAGTCCTGGGAAGTCAAGTGTCAGCACAGGCTTCCAGAGTGTCTGCCTCACTCCCTTGCTCATCTTCCCGCTTGCTCTTTCCACCTTCCCACACAGAACTCTTAGCCATCCTTTCCCACGGAAGGTCTTTTGTTAGGAATCTCTCCTAGGCAGAGTCCCAGGCTAGAAAAAGCAATCTGACTAACCATATGTGGAAGACAGTGGGCTCCTATTAGCAGAAACAATAAGACGCCCGCGCTGCAAATGTCTCATTTCAATAATGTGCTAACAGTGACTATCAGCCTTACCAACTCGGTGACAAAGGAAGCAGGCCAACAGGTTAGGGGGGACTTGCCTGCCAGAAATTCTGTCTCTGAACTAGCATTTCTGAACACTGTTCTGCTGACTATGGAGTCCAGTGCTGAACCAACAAAACCCAAGAGAGGCACAGTATCTCTGCAACAGCTCGCCACGTATCCCCCAGAGACCGACAGCATTCAATCAATCACTCCCGGGCCTCATGCTCTTTTCTGCACTCCCAAGAGGATGCTGGGAGTCAACAGGTGGTAGGGCCCGAGGCAGTCTTGGAATCATGATACAGACTGTCGAATGTGTCTGCTCTATACACGCAAGCTTCCATAATCATTGTGAAAATGGGGCATATTATAAAACCCAAAGCTCGGGCAGTTCTGATAGGACCCATTCCTGTTTTCACCAGTCTGGACTTCTTATGTGCCCAGTGGCAAGCAGACTGAGGAAAAGCATGTTTTTCTAAGGTTCCAGATGCCAAGCATGAACTGATAGACTGCATCGAAGTACAGGATGCCGCAACGTGGAGGGAATGTGAAGGAATGCGGAATGAATGGAGCCAGCGCAGAGGACCTACACTGTTGAGAGTGTGCTTCCTTGGGGTCCCCAGAGTGGTCACTCAAAGGCAGAAGCAGGAAGGGGGTTGTCAGGGCTGGGAAGAGGGTCTGGACAGTGGTTATTTAACGGGCAAGAGTTTTGGTCTTGCAAGGTGAAAAGTCCTGGGGATTGGGCACACAATGACTCCAGTGCTCTACAGTGCAGCACACTTAAATATGGGCAAGACAGTACATTTTATGTTAACATCCGCTTTATCACAGGTTATAAAAACTGATGTATACAAACCATGAGTTAGGAAGAGAGTACCAGGTGGTGTGGAGAAGACAGAGGGGCTCTGGAATGGGTGAATTGACCTGAAACCTGGTGTGTTGGGCAGGAAGACAGGGGTAATTCTCTCTCTCTCTCTCTCTCTCTCTCTCTCTCTCTCTCTCTC